TGATGCTTAGTAGCAATTATATTCCATAATATCCTCCAACTAAAAATCAATATTCTCGCCGAAATTCGGATATGCCAAAGACAAGAGAAAGTATTAACCTGATCTAGCAGGAGCAACGCCGGATTGCTCGTCCCCGACAACGCTATGTACATTTCTTTAACAGAAAAAACCAGCCTAACATCCTCTTTCCATAACACCCTGTCTGACACACCATACGACAGATGATCCTCCGCCACAACACGAGATAAATTCTAGAACTGCTCCTGGAACGCGTCTTAACTCTGAGTCGGAATTCCAAAATCATTCCATAACCAATTGCCTTCATGCCAAAATCCCATATTACCTACAATCCCATTCTTACTCTTATAGGCTGAAAACAACTCCTTAAACTACACTGTCAATGGCAAAGTACCTGTCCACACTCCAGACCAAAAAGGGGTCATATGACCATCTCCCACTTTATACGAAACTAGACCTACAAAATTAGGTTTACAGAATTAAAATCAATGGCAAGTAAGTGTTAGATTAATTATTTAATTAATCAAATATGGATTGACATAATTAATTATTAATTAATTATATTATGATCTATTGTTATTAAACACTAAATAGATGAATTGTTTGATTGAGTTTTGTGCCTGAATGGACTGTGATGGGTTGGACCATTCAGTTAAACCCAATGAGAGGTTTCTGCCCTCAGCCATTTAACTATTTAAGTCTCTCCTCATTAGACGATTAACATACTTCGAAAACCCTAAACGACAATATGAGTAGTAATCCTTTCATACTGACTATCTCCGACGACAATCTCTCCAATCCTAAAAGGTGTATAGTTCTTATTCTTGTCTATTATTCTTTAATTTAAATCCTTCAATTGGTATCAGAGTCTGTTTAGATACATCTGATAGCTATTATGAATAAAAAAATTTTATAAGTGTTGGTGTATTTGTATTGACTACTCAAAGAAAATAGTTATAGTTTTGTTATGACAGCGTATTATTCCCATACATCATTGTTTCTTCAATTTTTATCTTTGGTGTAAAGCAACTATTGCACTATTAATTTTCAATGAAAAATACTATGAAGCCTAATTTTTTGAAACTGACATTTTGGTTTGACGAAGAAGTATGATTGCATGTCATATTTTATTTTAATAATTTGAGTGACAATTTTTTACATCTCTGTTTTATCTTTTTAAAAAATGCATTTAATATTTTGATTAAAATCTAATAAATGTGTTGAATGAATCCTTAAAACCAATACTTTGTCATTCAATTTCAAAGAGTCGTAATTGTTTTCGATTTTAATATAAAATTCTCTTTTATGTTCTTTTATGTTAGTGAATATGATATTGACCTATAATCTTTTTTCCTTTTTGGATAATATATGTCAAAACCTTATATAATATTGTATAATAAATTTAAAATAAAATTCATTCATATTATGACTTGGTAAATGGGGCTCTAGGTTTCCATATAAGTTTCAACGACTCTCTCCTAAATTGATGTCAAATAAATAGTATTAGATATTCTATTTATTTTAATGTTTTGATATATTCCAATATTTAAATATAATATGTTATAAAATAATAAATATATCTAAAATTTTCATATATAATGATTTTGAGATATTCTTTAGTAAAAGTAAATTGTATTATCCTTGAATTATGATTATTTATAAATAAAGTTTTATATTTTGATATAAAGATTTAATCTTTGTTTATGAATCATTTTGAGGTGATATTACAATATTCTAAAAGTCATTAAAGTTTAATAACTCTACTCAAAAGGATAAATGTCACATTCTATTCGAGGTTAGTTGTATTTGATTATTTATTAATTTTGAATCTCTTGTGACTATTATATAATAATTGCATGCAAGAAAGAATTTCTTAAAATATTATTCACTTCCTTTTTGAAATTAAAATTATATATATATATATATATATATATATATATATATATATATATATATATATATATATATATATATATATATATATATATATATATATATATATATATATATATATATATATATATATATATATATATATATATATATATATATATATATATATATATATATATATATATATATATATATATATAATTGAATTCTTATTATTTTATGATTTTTACTATGGAAAATTAAGTAATCAGTATTAATTTGTATAATTATAATTTCACCTATCATGGATACAATTATATAAATTTTTTTTTGAATAAAATATAAACATTATTAATTCGTATGATTGTAACACATCTATAGTGGGTATAGTTATACAAATTTTGTTTAATAAAATAATTTTAATTATAATAAATACTATATTGATAATAGTTATACTCTATCGGTATGTTATTATTAATATAATTGTTTTGTCCAATTTACTCATGATTTATGATTATGTAAATTATAGTTCAAGTAACCTATCGGTATTAGAATTTTTGTTGACATAATATTTATACATTGTTATATTTCTTATTTAGTATTGTTGAAAATATTATTTGAGAAATAAAATTTTTTTTGAAGACGTGTAATACTTTATGAAATCTGATAATCTTTTGTTTTTTTTTATTTATTAAAATGGATTTCAATTCTCTATGTATTATGTAAGTGATGAACATACTCTATCGGTGTGACATTACTTCAATGATTATTGTGTGATACAGAAAATAGTTGAATATTTGTTTAAATATTTTAAAATTCTAATATTAATAACTCAACTATTATTCTCTATCAAATGGGAGAATTTAACATGTCAATTAGATAGAAATCAAAAATAAATATTATTTGTTTAATATATAGTATTATTTTATAGAGACTTATATTGAGGATATTTTAGTTATGCTATTGATAAAAATTTATGATTACTTGTGTCATATCCTCAATATTAAATTTGATTAAAGTCTCATATTTTTTCAATGGGTATAACGTAATATGTTTCTCAAATGTGTGTAGTTATATTTATAGCATTTGAACTTTAAGCGAGTTATTAATATATTGTATAAAGTTCTATATTCTATTTAAAATTATATAGATTTGATCTCACTCAAAAGATGGTAAATCTTTTATATGACCATCCTATTTTTTCATGTGAAATTATCTAAATAAGGATATATTCTATTGACGTGGAAAATATGTGGTTGAGTTTGATGATATATTATAGAACTACTTTGTTCAATCAGAGTATTTAATATTAGTGGCCTCTTATAAATCCTTATCATATTGGATTAGTGGGAGTGAAGTGCATGTGTACACAATCATATAATCTAAAAAATTTGAATTATTATTCTCATAGTGTCATATATTCTTGCGCGCACTGTAAATATGACCTATTTTAAAAGGATTTCAAAATATGAAATAATTATAAGAAGTCTTATTCTGTTATACTGAGATATATATTATTTTCTTAATCTCAGGAAACATCATTATTTGATGTTTAAGTTGATATTGAAAAGACATAATAATTATTTATCGTGCAACAATATTGTGTTATTCTATCTTTAATAGTCCACATTTGTCAGGTCATAATATGAAAGTACAAGTAAATATCAATACTCCTATCGAGTATGATATTGTGTTATGAAGGTACTTATAATTAAAGGTAATTACTCTGTTAATAGGGTATCCCTATATGTAATTAATATTCTGTCATTCTTTAAAATATATTACTCTTAAGTTAAATATGTTACTCTAAAGTCATCATTTTTTATATAAAGTTATGAGTTATAACATGTATGATTTGTCTTTCCTATCAGATACAATTTTTGCAGCGTTGAAATTTACTTCTTTTTTATTGATTAGTGTTTTGACCATTATTGATATTTTAATACTAAAATCAATATTTTTAATAATTAATTATTGTCATCCAAGTGGGAGATTGTTAGATTAATTATTTAATTAATCAAATATGGATTGACATAATTAATTATAAATTAATTATATTATGGTCTATTGTTATTAAACACTAAATAGATGAATTGTTTAATTGAGTTTTGAGCCTGAATGCACCGTGATGGATTTGATCATTCAGTTACGCCCAATAAGAGGTCTCTGTCTGGTTAACTATTTAAATGTCTCTCCATTAAACAATTAACATATTCTAAAAATTCTAAACGACAATAAGGATAATAATCTTTTTATACTGATTATCTTCGACGGTCATCTCTCCAATTCTAAAAAATATATCGTTCTTATTTTTGTCGATTATTTTTTAATATAACAATATACTATAATTTATATCTATTAAATTAATTTAAGTCCTTCAATAAATCCTTCCACCAATAAGAGCCCTTGCTTCATTTCTTACCGCACTCCTCCTCCTATAAAACTAAATGCTCGATCCTACCGTATTCCGCCATTAAAACTCTTTTCCATAAAGATTCTCCACCAAGATCGAGAGTATATGATGGAAAAAAAATGTTAAATTATAAAATAAATTAAATAAATGATAAGTTGGGTTTTTCAAATATTATTCTTGTAATGGCAAATACCTACCATGATCGAGTGAATATTTGTTGAGTGAATATATAGAAAGAAGAAAAACCCTGTCAGTCTCATAATTGAGTTCTGAACACCATGTGCATCCTTAAAACCTCTATCTCTTTGTCTGTCTACCATATTCCTTCTATCCCCACACAAGTACCCCAAGCTTATCTTCTATCACAAATTAACCCCTATATTCCCTACTCCCTATTTATTCAACTACAATTAAAATTAAAATACAAAACAAAATATTGACCAAATCACAGTTCAATATTTCACCAGATACGAACTCTGTAAAGGGCAAACTCGTCATAAAATTCAAACTATTCAACACTATATAATAACTACGTTGTCAGAACCCAAACAAACACAACTCCATGCACAAACTTTTCTTCACAACTCACCATAATTCATTTCATATCATCATATCATAGCATAAACATATCGTTTATCATATAGTATAGAAACTATATACTAAAATTAATTTCCATATTTCCACAACAACCACCAAAATGAGTAGCATTAAGTTTTTTCAAACTATAACCGTTACAGTACTGATTTTAATACTATCACTCACCGCCACCGTTCAGTCGTGTCCACCGTCAGATAGGGCGGCGCTACTAGCCTTCAAAGCCGCTCTCCACGATCCCTATCTCGGCATCTTCAACTCATGGACCGGCACCGATTGTTGCCACAAATGGTACGGCGTCAGCTGCGACAGAGGCTCCCGCCGCGTCGCCGATATCAACCTCCGCGGCGAGTCAGAAGATCCAATCTTCGAAAAAGCACACCGCACCGGCTACATGACCGGTTACATCTCACCAGCAATCTGCAAACTCAACCGCCTCTCAAGCATAACCCTCGCCGACTGGAAAAACATCTCCGGCGAAATCCCCCGCTGTATAACCTCCCTCCCTTTCCTCCGTATTATCGACCTAATCGGAAACCGTATCTCCGGTCCTATCCCCTATAACATCGGCAAACTCCAGCGTCTCACCGTCTTTAACATCGCCGACAACTCCATCTCCGGTAACCTCCCACCGTCGCTAACCAGCCTCAGAAGCCTAATGCACCTGGACATCCGTAACAACCAGATCTCCGGGCCCATACCTAAAGACATCGGCAGGCTTCCAATGCTGAGCCGGGCTTTACTTAGCGGTAACAAAATCAGCGGGCCCATACCCGAATCAATTTCTCGTATTTACCGTCTCGCGGATCTAGATCTATCTCGCAACCAAGTTTCCGGGTCCATACCCGAATCATTAGGTAAAATGGCGGTTTTATCCACACTTAATTTAGATATGAATCATATCTCTGGTCTTATTCCAATAAGTCTTTTTAACTCAGGAATAAGTGATTTAAATTTAAGCAGAAACAGTTTGGAAGGTAATATACCTGATGTGTTTGGTGTGAGATCTTATTTCACGGTTTTGGATTTGTCTTATAATAGACTTAAAGGGAGTATTCCAAAATCTATGGCTTCTGCTTCTTATATTGGACATTTGGATTTGAGTTATAATCATCTTTGTGGGAAGATTCCTGATGGAGTTCCGTTTGATCATTTGGAGGCTTCATCTTTTGTTTACAATGATTGTCTTTGTGGGAAGCCACTTAAAGCTTGTGTTAATTAAACATACTTAGTTTGTTATTTCATCAAGTTAATTATATGTAATTTGTAATAGGAACAAGAGTCTTGTGTTTTTTACTAGTAGTTGTTAGTAGATTCCATGTATTTGTGTTTGTGAAATTGTAACTTTAATCATCATATCATATGATATATTGCGTTACATTATAGTATTTTTACAATATAAATATGAATGGGCCAATGCTATATGATTAAGATACGAGGTTAATGTGTTTGTTCCCGGATTTTGTAACAAGAAATGGGCAGCTTTGTAAGCATTCATAGTTCTTCACCTATATTCTTCAATGGCTTCATCCATCTTTTTTTCTCTTTCTTCTCGAATTCTTTTACTATGTGACACTGCCACTCTTGGCCTCACATGATAAGCTTTGAACATGTTAACAAGACCATTCTTTTTGTTCAATGCTCAAATCTTCTCCTTATCACTCTATTCTATTATAGTTTATTTAGATTGATTTGCATTCTTTCATTCTTAGTTTATATTTCATTTTCGTTCTTCATTGTTACAAGTTTTTTACAACACTTTTATTTCATATACAAGTTAGGTTTATCAACTTTTTTATTTACTTATTTTCTTGTATTCACATTGCTTTATCCATTTTATTCACTTTATTTTGTCTTTTCATTTAATCATCTGTTATAATCCTTATATATGAGTAGTTCCCATCTTGGAATAGTGGGGGCTTTGGTTTTATATATTGTGTAGGTAATATTGTCAAATGATTTTTACAATTGTCAAATAATTGTGTTTATGACAATTATAAAATGATTTTGATCACGACAATTTTTTCAAAGATTCTTGATGATGACATATGAACAAGAAAGAGATATCTCAAGTCTCATCAGTCTAATGTGTCAAGTTATAAAGGTGCTAGACAAAGCTTCATTAAGTAAAAGAACTTGAATTTGTGATTTTGAAGTTATGAAAGATTTGAAAAGGTAAAAGCTTGTTTGATCCAACGCTTAGGATTTTACTTAGGTTTGATCAGTTATATGTAAAAGGAACGAGAGTAAGTTTTGAGGTACTAAGGCAACAAATAAATACACACACGCACATGCGCGCACACACATACAAAAATGTATTTCAACCCTCTCTTATCTTTTGATAAAACTTCTAAAAATCAATTTGGACAAGTGCTTAATTGATTAGAATTTTGTTTAATCAATTAGAAAGATAAAAATATGAGGGTTAATTGATTAAGAGGTTATTCTAATCGATTAAATCAATGTGAAATGTCTTCTAATCGATTAAGAAAACTGATAATCAATTAAGTTACGTAGAAAATCAAACTTTCCCAAATTGACTTGGTTAACCAATTAGTATATAGTTTTAATTAATTAATTGTATATTTGTTAGCTGTCAAATTTCGACCAAGAATACAGAAGTATGGATGACAGAGAATCGTACAAAAGGTCATGTCGGAGCAACCTCGACAGCAGGTCCGTCAGAGAGGGCGTTGAAGCGAACTCGACAGAGAGGCAACTCAGTCAAAGTCGAAGGAATCCCAAGGGCTTCAGGAGAACGAACAAGCTTGGAGTAAATAAAAGAATGTAGAGTTTTCAAGGTAGTGGGGGACACGTGGTAGCGCAGCGATTGGAAAGCAGAAGGATAACCGTCACTTTTTGCCTATTTAAGGAAGTGTCATTTTCAGTTTTAGAGGTCGCATTTTGTTGCATTAAGAGAATACACTCAAAGTACCAGTGTTAGAGAAACGAGTCAAAACTCTGCAGAATGTATGCATACGTCCAACTCTGTTTTCTTGATTAAGCAATTTTACAAGTTTTTATTTTCCTTTGTTTGTTGTTTTTCCCTTTATGTTGTACTTGCCTTAATTTTTGATTTAACGCAACTGTTCATTTACCGCCTGTTCAACCCTAACAAACTAAACTGAAACGTCTACATACATTTAACATGTAGTCTAGAATTCTTGTAGCCGATCCTGCACGTAAACTTCAATAAGAGGCTAGCGGTTGTTCACCAAAAATACTGTGTGAACAAATTGGCGCACCTGATGGGATCCATCGTGTTTAGATTTATGTTGTTGTGTATTGGTAAGATGGGAGAACCAAAGAGTACCAGTCCGAATAAGGAGTTCTTCTCAGGAGGAAGCCCATTCATATCGGAAACCACCAACGTGGGTTCTAACACTATGGTTGTTGATTCGACCGCTCATAGTGGACCGACGCTGTCACCACATCGATCTGTGGGGATAATAGGACCGACGATGGCTAAAATGTTTGGGTCATTTATGCCCAGTTTTACGTTACCTATGTATGGTAGAGAAAGGACCTTTGGAATGCCTACGCAAGTAATGGTAAGCATGCATGGGAGTGGTTCGATGCTTGACGGAGGCTCGGCCTCGACGTTTTCACCTTATCATGGATTAGGACCATTGGGTAATCAATTTAGTCGAACCACAGAGTTGGGACTTCCGTCTCCAGCGATCCCGAATTTTACGTCCAGTTCTGTCGTTGTCATGAGACAACAGATGGACGAGAGTAACCACAAACTGGTCCACATGCTGACTCAGCAAATGAGAATCATATTAAGACCTTTAATTCAGGACTCAACCCAGAGTTACCAACAGTTGGAAACTCAAATGGCTAGGATATGGGGCTTTTTAGAGGCTCCTAGGGCCCCAACCACGACAGAAGACCCCACCTCGACTAGAGACGCCAATCTGATACAAAGAAAGGTTCGACGAGACCATTGAGCAAAAACCCTATGTGGTCGAGCCAATACCTAGGGTGGCCTAAATGCCTCATGTCGTACTGGTTAATAGGAACCAAGACCTCGACCAAGTAGTCAGGCAGGCTCGACAAGATGCAGTGGGTGGCGAACAAAACCTAGAAGCTATCGTCGAGCAAATCATGGTTCACAATGATGTCAATCCTGGCTTGCAGAGGCTAACCTACTCGTCTTCATTGCCAGATTTTGTTTGACAAACAAAATTACCAAGGGGATGGAAGGTACCAAAGTTTACAAAGTTCGTTGGGGACACTGAGGAGTTGACCGTCGAACACATCGTTAGATACCAAACCGAGGCTGGTGACATAGCGAATAACAAGGATTTAAAAATGAAATACTTCCCAAGTTCCATCAGAGAAAAATGTGTTTATGTGGTATACCATATTGCCTCCCCAGTCCATCCATACATGGGCGCAGTTAGAGAGACTGCTCCATGAATAATTATACATGGGATAGTCAAAAATAAGCTTGAAGGAATTGGCTAGCGTAAAACGCAAGGCCTTTGAATCGATTGACCAATACCTCCACCGGTTCAAACTTCTGAAAGTAAAATACTTCACTCAAGTCCCTGAGCATGAGCTGGTCGAAATAGTGGCCAGCGGTCTAGATTATTCTATTAGGAAAAGATAGACACACAGTACCTTAGAGACATGGCCCAGTTGGTCGACAGAGTTCGACAACTTGAAAGGCTGGAGGCTGAGAAGGCCAAAACGGGAAAATACCATAAGAAAGAGAAAGTGTCCTATGTCGCGGCCAAACCATATTCCTTTAATGATGAAGAAATCGTTGACGCGAGTGAAGTTAACGTGGCTGAGCTCAAGCTAGGGCCTTCATACACGTGCAAATTACTAAAACCATCGAACGGGAAAAATCCAGTTGATACTGAAAAACGGATAAATTCATTGCAAAGACATATACATTTGATATAACTAAGTGTGATGAAATATTTGATTACTAGTTAAAGATGGGGCAAACTATTGTGCCCCAGGGTTTAAAAAATTCCCCATTAGAGCAAAAGAAAACAAGAGGATTCTTTAAATTTCATAACTTTCTTGGTCATAAAACTTCTCAATATGTTCTCTTCAGGGATTTTGTGCTAAAGGCTTTGAAAGAGGGCAGACTCCAATTTGGTGAAAAGCCAAAGATGCAGGTGGATACATATCCATTAAAAGTAGAGGAGGCATTCTATGTAGAACCATTTGACTGCATGATGGTCGAGGCTATTGAAATTCCTGACGGAGTCGTAACGGCTGAATTTGTGGAGTGCCTAATGGTTGGACCACTGAGGGTTTCGACTCAAGAGATGAGGATGCATTGAGAGCGGTTTATCCTACCACCGGAGAGGGATTGGATGATTTCCAAGAGAAGTGCAGAGTAAGAGGGTCAGAAGTTGTGTTGTGTCCAAGATGCAATGTCGTCTTCGACAAAAAGGCTACTGAGGATTAAGAAGTTGGACGGGAAAGTCGTTGGAAGGGTAAAGTGCTTCCACCCCGAGGTTTGTGTTCGATAACAAGGGGGAACCACAGCGAAATGAAGAGTTCCAGAGGTAGTTCCTGCATATGCGCCCTAAAACCTTTATTCCCCCATCCAACACCCCACAAGAGAAATGGGTGGAAAAATTGAGTCAGAAAGGGAGCGAGAGGCCAAAGTGGTCAACCTAGAGGTAGAAGCGATGAGGCCAAAACAGAGGCCTTATCCCAGAGGATATGTGGTTTCTCCAAACCACAAAGGGAAGAACCCCATGACCAGGACCCAGTGGAGGCGGTACCAGAGGAGTAAGAAAGTTGGAAAGGTGGCTTCGACGTCGCAACCTAAAGCCGTCGAAACTTCTGGGCAAAGGAGAGAATGCCTAAGGGGAAGGCCAGTCGAGAAAGAAAGAATTGTGGCAAACCAAACATTCGCCATGATGGTTGAGCCTTCAGGGGAAAAGCAAGTGGTCTCAACCCAAAAAATGGAGTACACTCTGTCGGTTGAGGAGGAAGAACCAAAGTACACACCCCAATCCAAAAAAGAGTCTGAATATACTCCCATATCATAGGAAGAGTAAGAATACACTCCCTAATGAGACGAGGAGCCTAAATACATCCCTTCGCCAAACGATGAGATGATTAACGATACTTATGGTGAATATTTCATCATTAAATGTGGGATCATGTCAATGTTACTCGTAGAGTATGATAGAGTGTCAGGGGTTTCCGGAGCCGACGGAGATTTTCATCCAGACGAAAATGGCGAAG